TGCACGACCAGTACATTTGTTTTACATCAAGTTATTTCTTATTTATACAGAACAACAGTAAGATAAAAAAAAATTTGTAAGATACACAATGCAAAATAGTATGGATATAAAATGTGCATGTTTTAAAAATATATATTATTTGATCTTGAGCACATATCTCTGGAAAAGTGTTTTTCACAGACGTGGATCTGTGATGAAGAGAGACGGGATCAGCATTCACCTCTGCATGCTGATTTCTTATCAACATAAACGCCACATGACATGAAATGCTGAAACTAACCCTGCTGTTTTGTTTTGCTCGTCTTCAGATCTGATGTGTATTTTATCTGTAGACATTAAGTTCATGTACTACACTCATAATTGACCACTGATTGACTTTACGTTTAGCCTTAGTGATGTTAAATGAATATTCCTACATCTAGCGGTTAAAGATGCAACACATTGCAGATAACATTAGAATAAACTTTATTTTAGTATAGCATTTGTACATCAACACATCTTCATCAGGCTGATGATCTGAGCAGCAAATCAACTTTATCCGTTTCAATTATAATTTTATTTTATGATGCTCAGTTTTGTCATATTGTTACAGAAGATAGTGAGGAGATATGGTTATTATAATCTAGAGGAAAAACGGAAAAATCCCACATACACAACAGCATGTAAATATGACTAATGCATCACTGATTTGAAGTAAACCCTGGCTTTTGTTGCATTCTGAACTCAATCTTCCTTTTCTTTGCCGTCCTCGCTGAAGAAAGCCGTCAGCTGCGCTCCATCAGGAACGTATTTGATGTTCTCCACCTCTCCTCCGTAGTTGCTGGGCTTCTGGAAGTGGATCTCCAGATGGTCCTGAAGATCTTCTTCATTCATCAGTGCCTGGATTCCCCCCAGCAGCACGGTGCGACTCGGGGCCCCCGAGTACGTCTACAACATCACAACAAACACCATCAAACAAACGTGTTTCTGCACCCAAAACAGATGTCTGGTACAGAAACGCACCTGAAACTTCCTGAGCTGATACTCATACAGAGGAAGAACATCGAGCACCACGTCGCTACCGGCGTCGACACAAAACTTTCCTCTGTGAACCAGATTCTCTGCAACTGAAAGTGGAAGCAGGAGAGCCATGATCAACAGAAATGTTCAGCAAACACACATTAACAACACGGAGCATGAAAAGGGATGCAGACACACCTCCGGTGCTGAGGAAAGTGACGCGGCCCGAGCCCGTATCCTTGTGGTACTCCAGCTTCTCCACTTCTCCTCCGCCGCGACTCGCTCTGGAGAACGACAGCTCCAGCCGGTCTCTCATTCGCTCCTCAGGTAAAGTGGGCGGGGCGTTACTACAGAACCTGACGCTCTTCTTTGACACCTGGATATGAACCTGAATGAACAGAAGTAACAATCCTCTGTTAACAGCAGCTCACATCAACAGACAACACGTCTTTCTGGACACAGTAAAGAAGAAAATGTTCTGCAAGATGGAGAACTTCTGAAATCTCTCTACCTCAAACTTCACGGAGGGATCCAGAGTTAAAGTGTACGGCTTCACCTCTATCTTGGCTTTGTCACAGGCCACCGAACACTTGGCCAATCGGAGGATCTGCTCTGCCACTGAAACAGTCCACATTATGAGAAACAAACAGCAGATCAATGTGATTAAAACCAGACAAACATACACATCTTCCCAAACCGAGAAACGTAACGATCCCTGCAGTCCATACCCTTCTCCTCCTCAAAGGTGATGAGCGCCTGGCCACTCTTCAGCAGAAACGAAGGTGTTTGTGTGACGGTGAACTTAGACTCCACCTGATCTTCTGCCTCCTCTCTCGCCAGCACACGAGCAAACTTCACTGCTTTCACTGGGATTCTGGCTTCTATCTGCATTTCACAGAGCATTTTGAGAGAGTTATTTCTCCATTACAGCTCAGATTTGGGGTAAGGATCTGAGTTGAGCACACTGTGAGTTTGAGGCTTTGTACAGTAGGAACATTTTATGAACTTATTAAAGAAGGATGTGACATGAGGAGCAAAAGTGCTACTGTTATCACTATTGCTGACACTACGCCCTAAAAGTGTGAACTTATTTTTTATGAAAAAAGAGAGTGTGTAGCAGACGAGTAGGCAAGCTTTGTGATAAACTATTATAAAACGAAGAGTTCCGGTGCTTGATTCTGATTGGCTGAGCCGCGTTCGAAGCTGTTGTAAATGACTCTACAAAGTAACACACACCTTTGTTTACTTTTGTGTGTTGCTCGGCAACCACTTTGTTGCAACCACAACTGTTTCTGAGGAGCTACATTGTTTGGTGGAAGAATACTGTTTTTATTAATATCATTACACTTTATTTGCTCTGTTTTATTTTGTGAAACCTTACTACGTATATGGAATAACCGTTTTATAAAAGCAGTAAGCCCCGTGAAGCCGTGGTTTACAGTGAATTTATAACAGCTAAGGGGGTTTTAGGCATGACGCGAAGCGGAGCCTAACAACCTAACAGCCAAACAACGCCCCTTAGCTGTTATATATTCACTGTAAACCACGGCTTCATGGGGCTTATTGCTTTATTTTGTCATAACTGCATCTTTAACGGACGGCTCTGTCACTTCATTACACGCAGAACTCTTCTCGTGTGTTTGCACAATGATGCTTTTAAAAGTTAATCACCAAATATATCTTTATAAAAGTTCACAGTGTTGTTGCAGATGAAATATGACGTGGATTTTCTTCGTCATCCAGTTAGACATTGATTATTAATCACTCAAAGTGCTTAACTATCAGTCTCTCATATCCTCCATGTTTGTAGTTTTTAAACATTTTTTTTTTGTAGTTTTAATCAAATCCTTGTCCAGTGCGCGATGGGTTGTGAGCAATAAACAGTAAACCATCCAGGTACCTTTGGGACACTACGATTTGGGATGCACTAATTCTAAATTAAAATAATGTTTAGGACAAATAGAATGCTATTTTGGACACCGCATATGACTCTGTAAAGATTGTTCAGTTCTTGCTCAACAGGAAGAAGAGTGAGCTACATCTGACACACCCTCCATGATCATTATATGATCAGTGTTATTTGGACTAAACTTTGATCAATATTAGTAACTTTAAACTGTAATCAGTTAATAAATTGTACACATTGTAACAGTAAAACTCAGGTCAACCTTGAATTTGCGTCGCAGAGAGTCACTTTCGTCCCTCTTGAGCAGAAGCTTCTTCTGAAGATCATAAAGATCTCTCTTCAGATCCTGGTTGGCTCGATCCAGACTCTCCCTCTCCTCCTGAAACAAAGCAGGATGAACACAATCCTCAGCATCTGCTTTCTCTTTCAGTGGCTACCCAGCAAGCAATAGCCGTCATTTCACCGTCTCGGTTAAGTATACAATTCCCAACCGCTAGATGGCAATTGTAGCCCTACTGAGACGACTGGCAAGGCGAGACATGAGAGTTAGTAGAGAGCACTGTTTTGTTTTGAATTTTGTTTTTACACGAGAGAGCACTAAGTTTACCTTTCGGAGAGCAGCGGGCAAACAACAAACGATAAAGGACATTCCTACTTGGTCTTGTAAGTATCTGTGTTTTCGTTTGGACATGTGATCATTATTTATCTATATTATTTGTTATCATGTTTAGGAACCGTGACATGTTAGTGAAGGGAGCAGATCGTAGTTGATAGTGACCCGTGACTAGCCCGCGGTTCAGCACGCATGTGTTCAGAGGATTAACTGCAAAATTTAAAAGAGTAAAAGTTTTATAATTTGTATGTGTTTACAAACTCAATCGATTGAATGCAGTTGGGAGGCATTTTAAACAAGAAATAAAACCAATAATTAATAATTTCCTTTAAGTTCACTGTTGGTTGTCTTATTTGTTAAAAGTAAACCAACAAAAGGTTCATCTTTTTTTTATTTTGTCATTTATCTGTAATGTTTTAATGTTAAGTGTGATAACATGCTCTTGATTTGTATTAGATTTTTTTTCTTTTAAATACCTTAAGTTATTTAAAAAATTTTTTTTTTCATTTTTATTATCTTAAGTTGTTAAAAACTCCAGATTTTTTTATCATAATATTTATATTTAAGTGTATTGTATTTATAACATTTTATTTTGTCATTAATTATTTTGTATTTTTATCATTTTGTATTGTCTTAAGTTGTCCAAGTTGTTAAAAATGTTATTTTTCTTAATAAAAGCTGTATGTATGGATTGCCATGTTGTTGTCTATTAGCTCTATATATGCAGTGGTTTAATAACTAGTCTATTCTTGGGCTATGATTAGACGTCTATTAGATTTTCACTGACAGCCCAAATTTAGCCTCGTTTTAGCCTAGACGACTGGGCTGAGATTAGACGTCTAATAGACGTCTTTTAAACGCAAAATTGCTTGCTGGCTAGTCTGATCACGCCTCGAAACTCACCTGTACTTCTAGAAGATCTCGTTTAAACCGCTCAGAAATGTTGTCTTCAGAGTCCATGAAGCTCTGAAGTTCTGCCTCGGCTCTTTTCTTTTCAGTCTCTGCTTCAGCTTTTTCCAGCAGCAGTCTGGATTTCTCATTGTCTGCAGACTCCATGAGATCCTGTGTGAACATCACTAATGATTAAATATGGTTATAGGTGACTGATTGAACTGTGTGTAGAGTTTGTGGGGTTTAACCTTGTATTTCTTCAGCTCCGCAGCAGCTTCGCTCATTCTCTCCTCGTCCGGGTTTACAAGCTGCTCGTTTTCACCAAAACATCATACAGTGTTAAGCAGAATGCAGGAGGAAATCTCAAAAGTGCGTGAATTTGAGGTTATGAACACGTACCTCGCCGTTGACTGGTTTTTCAGCGGCGTCAGGCATGATTCACTCTAAATCGAAAGTATGTGAAGTAAATGTAAAACTCCGAATCAAGCCTCCAAACACTTCTCCAATGACTGACTGATCGCACAGATATTTTCTCCACTTATAATTTACCTCTCAACTTCCTGATCCCGCCCCGATCGGGACTCGTATTGATCAGAAGTCACATGAACCAGTCCTGAAGCAAAAGTGAAAGCACCGGAGCCAGATTTCGGCGCAGCAGCGAGCGGCGGATTCGGTTCGGTTCCTCCATCACCGCGTGATATTAACACGTCTCTCGTCGGGACTCGATAAGATGACAGTCACTTATCTCACAGTTTAGTGGCAGAAAGTTTATCGACTGTCGGTTTGTCTCTGAAGCGCAAACATGGAAGAGAAGAGTCTGTTTCTCGAGGGTCTTCCGGCTGATTTCGACCGTGTCAAATCAAAGCTCCAGCTTTATTTTAAGAATAAAAGAAGATCTGGAGGAGAGATCGTGCAGATTCGAGAACATCACGAGGACAAGCGAAAAGCGCTTCTGGTTTACATGAGCGACGATGGTGAGTCATAAACCAATACTGACACCACAACATTTAATAAATGACCTGATTAAAGACTGACATGTCTTGACAAATGGAGGAGTTTTACAGGAAATTCCCCTGCTTTCCAGATCTGAAGAAGGTGCTTGACAAAAGGGTGCATAAAGTTGATCTGAAACCTCATGGATCAGTGGAAGTGACCGTGAAACTCCCAGAAGACCCTGCGATCAAGAAGACCAAACCACCAGTGCTTCCAAAACCCAACCCCGAGAGATGCCTGCCCGCTCCAGCCAGACAGGTCATTGCAGATCAGTTCATTACTTACAACTACTAGCATTAATATTAGACACAAGTTTCCTGATTCTCGTCTCTTTTGAAAGAACGTGGAAGCAATTAGACATTTTTGCCGGTTGCATAAACATAGAAACTATGTTAAGACTGTGTCTTAAGAACTAGTTAACCAAGTGTTAATCAGTCTTACTTTTCAGATTCAGGAGATACTTTTTATGTAACTGACTTTACAATGAGCAATCTTTTGAACTCTCAAACAATTAGATGATCTTTTAAGACTAATCTGTGCAGTTTATGCAACCAGCACCTGATCTTGAGTGATATTTGTTATTTTCTTTTTTACTCACACACTTCCTCCTCGTCACACAAAGGTCTCTCCCGTCAGAAAGCCTGCAACAGCAATTACAGCTCATAAAGGTTAGGCTATAATGCTTTTCACTCCTAGTGTTTAAAACAACAATCACTGATTTCAAAACTTTTACGACACTTTGGACATGTGTACATATTTGTTCATTACACAGAAGATGAGGAGGATTCAGAAATACTCGTCACACAAAGGTCTCTCCCGTCAGAAAGCCTGCAACAGCAATTACAGCTCATAAAGGTTAGGCTATAATGCTTTTCACTCCTAGTGTTTAAAACAACAATCACTGATTTCAAAACTTTTACAACGACACTTTGGACGTGTACATATTTGTTCATTACACAGAAGATGAGGAGGATTCAGAAATACCAGATCTTCTCATTAACACCCCTGGTTCAGTTGAGAAGGAAACCCTTCAGATGTATGTTGAGCAGTTCACAGAGCAGTTTGAGCTAGCAAAGCACGGAAATAACAGCTGGATCCTGAAGCTCTGCAGCCAGTCAGGTATGATTCCTGAGATTGTTTTCTAGTTACATCACGATGTGACGTGGAACAAACTGGTTTGGCAAGTCTATTTCTGTGCATATGACTCAGGCCAAAGAAACTATCATTAGATTACTAGCTCTCAAGTGAGAAAAATAAAAGCAAACCATGATAAAATCATCCAACATAATCCATCAGTGAGATCAGAAATATCAGAATTAACAATGTTGACCCTTTCTCAGATTTAGAGGAGATTTTGGGCCAGAAAGAGCATGGGTTTGGTATAACGTTAGCAGTGTATAAAGGAGGAGGTCTGGGAGAGCAGCTGGACCCGCGTCGCTTCATCTTGACTGGCTTTGATGGAGCCACAGACTGCAGGATGATCTCAGTGTTCATCGGCAGCTGTAGCAAGACCACAGAGCACACCTGGGAGACGCTTGATGAGGACAGGATCGTTGTCAGCTTCAAACACGATATCGGTGGGTTTTGAAGCTCTGGGTGGCCGCTGGGTTTCTGTGTTCCTGAGAACGACCTCCGTTTCTGAGACGCCTGCTTTCACGCTGCTTATATTTCTTCGTCTTTTGGGTCTGCTACTTCTGTGCACATTAATATTTTCTTTTCTTTATCTATCTACATGGACTAATCAAATCCTCTGTATTGCGTGAAAATGAATGCTACAAGAATCTGATCAGACTGCTGTGGTCAACATTCAAATAAACACTGAGGAAAGTAAACACACTCAGTGCATAGATCATTTTCTTCCTTCATATTTTATCATCAGATGTGACGTCATTTCTAAGGAAATGCACCTCGAGGCAGCTGCAGGGTCGAGACATCGGAGTGACCCGTGTGGAGCGGACGGACTCGGTTCTGGTCCAGGGAGACTTGGAGCAGATCAGTGAAGATGTTCTCACACTTTACTTCAGCAACAAGAAGAGGAGCGGAGGAGGAGACGTCCAGTCCTTCATATGGATCAACAGACGAAAGAGCGCGGCCATCACCTTCGGAAACTGTGACGGTGGGATTATTTGCAGAAATGAAACATGCATTTAGATTCAGCACAAACAGATCTAAAAATCAGTCATGTGAATATTGTATAAATGTTATGGAGAAATAATAATACTGTGCAGTGGTAATTTCCTGTTGTCTTCTGGCTTCTAGAGGATTTTCTTTTCCCCAAAATAAATCTCACATTATTATCACCAAATCTTGGATTCAGTCAGCTTGTATGAGTAGTGTTTCTTTACAAAGTGTTTTTAGTCATTTTCACGGATCCGTGTGAACGGGGATCATTTTGACAACCTTGTCGTCTGTACAGCAATGTGCATTTCAATACATTGCTGTCGTGTAAACGTACCCTAAATCCAACATTTGGTGATTATATAACATAATGAGATTTACAAGCAATTTAAAAGGCCAGTCATTTTTGACTGGAAACACCAAATTAGGAAAAGGATTTTCAGCACAGCACAAGGGCTAAAATGTAAAGAACAAACCTAATTTGAAAAATTTACCTGTCCTTTCTGTTTTAATAGATGCGCATGCAGTGGTGGAACAAACACACAATGTTTGCGGCACAGAAGTTCATGCTTCACTGTTCTACTCAAGTTTACAAAAGGCTTTAACTGGAGAAAAACCAACCCTGACTGATAAAATATCCACGAAAGTGAACGTTCCTGTCAGTGAAGAGCTGCTCCGTTTCTTTGAAACCAATGAGCGATGCAGAAAACAACTGGAGAACGAGGCCAAACTGCTTCACTCAAATCCGGCCCTCCAAAGAGCTTCACACACAAAATAGGCAACTTCATGACTCTGAGCATCGCAGAAGGAGACCTGCACCATTTCACAGCCGACGCTTTGACCTGTCCAATGAATGCCAATCTAGCTTTCAGTAACCCTGTGGCTCAGTGCTTTCTCCAGTTCGGAGGAGACGAGATTACAGAGGTGTGTAAAACTCATCAGAAGCAACAGCAGAGTCTTCTGCCTGGAGACGTGGTGCTCAGTGATGCTGGGAAACTCAGCGCCGGGACGCTCATTTACGCCGTGTTGCCTCAGAAAGGACAGAGGCTGGACTCTCACTACCTTCAGTCAGCCGTGTATAACAGTCTCCTGAAAGCTGAAGGAAAAGGATGCGCCTCGATTGCACTCCCAGCAGTCGGTTGTGAAAGCTTCGGCTTCTCTGTCAAAGACAGCTGCGTGGCGCTCCGAGCCGCTGTACTGCAGTTCTGCAGCGACCGTCAGAATTCTCCTAAAAACATCAGACGCATCAGTATAGTGGATTCAGACGAGGAGATCGTTGAGGAGTACAACGCTCTGATCCAGGAACTAGTATGATCCCTCTTATATGCAAACGTTTATTAACAGTGTTTAGCATGTTTTATTAACCATCACCCGTTTATTTTCTAACAGGGATTTCCTGACACATCTACAACGGTTCCCCTACAATCCTTGAAGCTAAAACACGGATCAGACATGAGAGGTACTGTGCAGATTTACCTGCTATTGTAATTTCACTGCTGGTGGTCACCATGTTTCCTAAACTTCATCTGAAGGGTTAGAAGTCGCTTATGTACTTTTCTTTTCACATGACTGGTCATTAAATCAGTGCTGATCAATGGTGTGCCCATATGCCTGAAAAACGGCGACATCACCAAAGAGACGGTGGATGTTATAGTGAATTCAACCAACAAAAGTTTAGATCTTAACACCGGTAAGAGTTTCTTTGCTGCAGCATCAATACTTTTATGTGTCATGCTAAAGCCTGAAGGTACCTCAGAGATTTGGGTTATTATATTTACTGTAACTTCCTTACAGGCGTCTCTGGTGCCATCTTAAAAGCTGCTGGACAATCTGTTGTTGACGAATGCAAAAAGCAAGGTATCTCCGACTCTTTCTGTCAATGGCTATATTCTAATGGGAGTGCTGAGTGATTTCATTCACATCTGCTTGTGTAGCTCCTCTGAAAGCAGGTGCAGCAGTGCTGACGAGTGCTGGAGCGCTGCAGTGTAAGTGTATCGCACAGATGGTTGGGCCAGACAGCAACGCCGACATCACATCATCTCTGGAAAAGGTTCTGAACCTCTGCGAAGCCAAAACAGCCACAACTCTGGCCATTCCTGCGATTGGAACAGGCATGACAGCAAGCAGTTTCTCTGTTATTTAAAAATACTCTCTCAAAGCGCTGTGAGGAAATATCAAGCCCTGAGCATTAATCTTGTTCTCTGCAGGACGAGGTGGCTTTGCCCCGAAAGAATCGATCAAAGCTATCTTCACAGCACTCGAGAAACATCTGAAGGAGCCGAACTCATCCTGCCTCCGGAGCATCACTGTAGTGGCATTTGAACAGAAGACCTTTGATGACTTTCGTGACCATTTTAAAGTGTGGAATAAGGTTAATACTGATGGGATAACAAAATTATATTGTCCAGATTTTTCTTTTTATTGCTTTAATTTTGTTACATTTGTTTTTCTCCAGCCTGTGTCCGGCAAGATGCCAGAAAATCAAGGTTTTGACAAATCTGCATTTCCACAAATAAATATGCTCTAGTTTTTTAAATACATCATAAACCTCTTTCAATGTAGTAGTTGTGATATTTTCAGGAGTGAATATTTAGTATTTACATTTTAAATCTTTCTGTAGTCAAAATTGTAAGCGTCAGAATTGAGGTAAAGAAAGGAGACATCACTAATGAAACCGTCCGGGGGATCGTCAACACCACCAACAGGGACATGAGCTTGAGAGGAGGTCTGTATGATCAAATAGAACTCAAAATACACAAAAACAGACACTTTTATATCAACACATTAATTACTCTAAAACAGTGGTTCTTAACCATGTTCCTGGAGCCCCAACACTGCACATTTTGCATGTCTCCTTAATCAAACACACTGATTAAAGTCACCAGCTTATTAGTAGAGACTCCGAAACATGCAAAGAGACATGTTGGGGGGCAAGGTGTCCCACCTTGACGAACTCAAAACCGTCTTTGTCCTCCAGGAGTGTCTGGTGCCATATTTAAAGCAGCTGGAGCATCTGTGGAGCAGGAGTGCCAAAAGCACGGTGAGAACGTCACATGCCAAATAATGAAACTTTGTTAATAATCAACTGCACGAGCAAGAGCATTCTGGTTATCAGCACAGCTGTGATTGGGCCGTAGACATAAATGACTTTCTTTAAACAAATTCCGCTCTGAAGGTGCACTGCAGAATGACGTCGCAGCCGTGACCAGCGGTGGAAACCTGCATTGTGACTTCATCATTCACATGGTCGGCCCACACTCGGCGGCAGAGACGAGATCACGTGTGAGGAATGTTCTGGAGCGCTGTGAGGAGAAGCAGATCACCACGGTCTCCTTCCCTGCCGTGGGCACCGGTACGGATGGTGGTCTTAAACATGGCATGTGCTGGTCATCGTGTGTGATTCATGTCTCACTCCGTGTGATGGCTCTTGTTAAAGGTGGCGGAGGCGTTCAGGGTGAGGACGCAATCAGTGCGATGCTGCAGGGCTTTGAAGATCATCTGTCTCAAAACGTCTCAACGGTGATCAAGCTCATCTACATTGTGATTGACCGGGACAACGTCCTACAAGAGTTTCAGAAAGGTCTCAAAACATGGATTGCGAAGTCACAGGTAGAGTTGCCACATGCTTAACCATAACCCACTTCTGAATGGGTCTATTATGAAGGATACTTTTCAAGGGTCCTTGTGATTTATTAAATATCGAATGTAAATGCTTTAGCATTTTAACATTGAATTAACATCAACACAATTAGGAGAGTGAAGATGATGAATATGATGAATATGATGATGATGGAGATGATGAGTTGGAGGATTACAGCTCAACGGAAGAAAGCTCCTCATCTGACCAAGGAGCTGATGCCAGCGGTAATGCAGCGTTTGATGACCTTTTGAAAATGTGCCGTTATCGGTGTTCCAAACATGCTTAAAATGTTTACATTTCGCCAGCAAACCCAGTGGAGGTGATGATGGGCCCGATTAAAGTCAAGGTGCTTTGCGGAGACATCACCAAAGAGACTGTCGAGGCTATTGTTAACAGCACGACGACAAGCCTCGATTTGAACACAGGCGAGTTTGTTTTTGATATCGCTCCGAACCTGATGAACGGTCATTTTCCAGACATACAGCTCATGGAACAGGGTAATTGGAAACAGGGTAATTGGAGGCGGTGCTCAGATCTAGTGTATGTCCTTATGTGCAGGTGTATCAGGAGCCATTCTCAAAGCATCAGGACAAATGGTGGCGAACGAGTGCAAATCAAAAGGTACAACCTTCAGCTTCAGTCAATAGTCATAAATATCCTGGTCCTGGAGGGCCAATGTCCTGCAGAGTTTAGCTCCAACTTGACCCGAAATACCCATATGGAAGATTCTAGTAATCCTGAAGACCTTTGATGACCTTGGTTCAGGTGTATTTAATTGGGGTTAGAGAAAGATTCTGCAGGACAGTGAGCCTCCAGAGCAGGATTGGACACTCCTGTTCTAACAGAATAATTGTTCATCTCTTCTCTCCTGATTAAAGCGCCTCAGCCCGCCGACGGCGTGATCCTGACCACAGCTGGAAATCTTTCAAATATCAAACACATCATTCATATGGTTGGGCAGACCAATGAGAAAGGCATCAGCAGCTCCATGTACAAAGTTCTGAGGATGTGCGAAGAAAATAAGATTCAGTCGGTTTCATTCCCAGCTCTTGGAACAGGTAAGTTCGTCCGGTCAGAAATACTGATAAACAAAGCCAAGCAAAGGTATCTGGATGATCCTAAAATGCTTAATGTCCTTCAGGAGCAGGAAACCTGGCTGCTGCAGGAGTTGCCAATGCAATGACAGAAGCTCTGACTAACTTTATGAAGGACTCACCGAAACACCTGAAGCACATCCACCTTGTGATCTTCCAAGTGAAACTGCTGCCAGACTTTCAGGAAGCTGTCAAGAAGTGCAAGAAGATTTCTCGAAATGCTTCTGGTATGTTTCAGTGCATGAACGTACAGTGTGAAGCATGAGCTGGAACTAACCCGGTTACTTTAACTTGTGTTTCCTGAACAGTGCGTCAGGTCAAACCCCTCCAGCAACCGGTGATCCCTGTGCTGACACAGCGACCAGCTATTTGTCTAGCCAAAGAAACGGCCGCTGTATCGTTCCCGGTTATGGCCGTTGATGTTTACGGGACGTCCCCTACAAACCTCGCCATGGTCAAGAAGCTCCTGGACGAGCTGGTCAAGCAGGAGTGCTTCAGTATAGACGTCCAGTTGAGCCACAACACAGACCTTCCTGAAACGGACAAGAAGGCCATCGTGGCCCTCAGCCGAGCCAATCAAGTCAGCGTTCTGGTGGCAAGTTCAGATAAGTTAACAGTATCAGGGAAAAGAGACGACGTCTTAGATGCTGTGCTGAAGATAAACGGCTTCATCCAGGCAGCACGAGACCGAGAGAAGCGTGAAGGTGAGGTGAAGCGTCTGCGGGAGACGCTGTGCTGGGAGGTGGCGAGAGGAGAACGCTGGGAGTCACTGGAGCCCGGCATCAGCTACGACATCGAGCTCACCTTCCACCGCAAAGAAAAGAGCTTCCAGTACCAGGAGAACGGAGACACCTACACGGTGGACTTCAAACAGATGGAGGTCACAAACAGCAAGCGGGAGTCCTGCAGGATCAAGAGGACTCTGCTGGGGGATTCTGATACGGGTACGAGTTGGCACTGACCACAGTCTACTAGAACAACTGATCCAAAAGTGTTCACGAGAAGCAGAAGCATCATCAGAGTGTAAAGTTATGCGATCAGGATTTATGTCCTTCCAAAAGCAGCAGTACAACGTATTTCCCAAAGATAGCTAAGATAAAACAAAAAAGCACAATGTACAAACTGCTGCTAAACTGACCTTGTAAACTTTGAAAAAAAAGAGGGCTTGTAGTTGCTGTTAAACACTATATTGTTCCTTAGTTGAGGAGGCATCTGTGGGTGTCGTCTGAAGATATATGATAGCAGACACTGTTCTTTCTGTAACTTTCCTTGTTTGTTTCTCAGCAATCATTCATCCCCCTCCAACGTGGACCAAAATGGATGGACGGGATTTAGAAATAATCACATTACAATCAAATTCAGTAGAGTACAAGAACATAGAGACAGCCTTTCTGAAATCCAGCATACACCGTGATGTGAAGCCCGTCCAGGTTCAACAGGTAAAGTGTCTCTTAACTCGCATCTCACCGGACATTTAGACATCACAACACAAGCATCAGTACTTAAAGTCAACTCATTCCACATCCCTAATCCGACTTATTTCAGAATATGGAAATGAAGCATTCTTGTAGCTCAAACAGTAGACTACAGTTCAGTTATCAGAGAATGCACAAATTGATCAAAAACAATGTACATTGTGAATGCAATGTGAGTCGCTTTGGATAAAAGCATCTGCCAAATGCATAAAAAGCAGAATATTCTAACTTGATTTCTCCATGATGCCAGCTAAAGAAGAAAGTCGTTTCAGAGGCCAAGCAAGAGATTTACAAATTGGAATAACATGCACTGATAAATTGCTGTTGTGTTAAGAAATTAAGAGTTGATTTTGATTTCATTTTGAGTTAAGGCCTGTCTTTATTAACGTCTGAAGTGATTTCTCAGATCGACAGGATTCAGAGTCAGTCGCAGTGGCAGAGATACTGTGTGCTGAAACAGGCCGTGGATAAGAAATACCCCAAACAGATAAACGAGCGCCTGCTTTATCACGGAACGACCAAAGACATATGCCAGAAAATCAACAAGAACGGCTTCAACCGCAGCTTCTGTGGGAGAAACGGTACGTCACATTTGACCCGTAACTTGCCTGTCTCTTGCAGCTTCACGATACTGACCCGTCACATGTGCTCTGTTTTGAAGCGGTCTATCACGGTGAAGGCACCTACTTCGCTAAAGAGGCCTGGTACTCCTGCCAGGACAAGTATTCCAACCCAGACGACAAAGAGCTTAAGTATATCTACCGAGCGCGAGTGGTGACAGGCTCGCTGTGTAAAAGCAGACAAGGAATGAAGGAGCCAGATCCGATCAACCCTGCAGACCCGCAGGCCGGACTGCACGACTGCGCCGTGGATGACCCAAAGAACCCGTTCATCTTCGTGGTGTTCTGTGACGCGGGAGCGTATCCAGATTACCTCATCACCTTCAAATCCATATAGCCCTCCAGCACTCTACAAATGCACATTTACCCTGAATGCTGCTGACAGAGATTATGGGAGAGTCTAGATAGCTTTTATGATATAACCGAGACAAAAACGTGAAGATGTTTTCACACATAACATTCTTCAGTAGGGCTGTCAATCAAAAAATCACTTAATTACATGATAATTGCATAGATCAATATTAGCTAAGGAAAGCTCCCAAATAAGGAAAAATTCAAAGACATCAAAGGGATCGTTCACCCAAAAATGAAAATTGTCTGCATTTACTCACCCTCATGTTGTTCCAAAACAGTTGCTGGTCCCCATTGACTTCCATAGTGGTGTTTTATTCTCCACACTATTGAAGTCAATGCTACCAGCATCTGTTTGGTTATCAACAGTCTTCAGGATCTCTTCTGTGTTCAATAGAAGAAAGAAACTCACACAGGTTTGGAACAATACGAGGGAGAGTAAATGATGACAGAATTTTCATATTTGGGTCAACTCTCTTTAATGTGACACATGAACAGACAACAAATGTCTTTAGAAGTGAATATAACCATGTAATTGACCATCAGATAATCACTGACCTCTGATGCTTTCATCCGTCTGCTGGAAGCCTTTTACATGCCACATGCTCTCGTGCTTTGTTTTTAAAATGTGTTTTCTGTTACTAAAACGGAAACATCATAATTATCATGTTTTTACTGCATTATATTTGTTAATTAATCATTCGACGGCCCTACCGGAGAAAGAGCTGCACTTCATTCTGCAGTTTTAACCTTTTGATATAGTTTGATACACAAATGTTTGCTTTCATCTGAAACTTTATAATGTTAATAAACACATTTGTAATCTGCCTTGATTGACTTTCTGATCTCTGCGAGACAAGTGTCATGAAGCAGAACTCAAACCAAAGCGCAAATGATACAGTAAAAGAATGAGGAATGAGAACCCAAAATACTTTTACCTTTAATATGAATTACAAAACATGATCACACCGAGTACAACAGAGAGTAGCAACCGGATGTATTTTTGCAAATGATTGTGACTCGATTAATACATTTAAAGTGTCATACATTTATACATTAATGAAGACACATAGACAGTTCTAGAAGATTAAATAGGAGCACAAAATCAAAACAGAAGAATGACTTCAGTCGAAGCGTTTCATTGAAAAACATTATATTCTTTATTCTATCGTTAAAGGATCAAGTAGCATCTGTGCTCAAACTAGTAGAAAGACATTCTATTGCCGAGGCGGTTTATGACGCTGTGGGGTTAAAACCACCATATAAAACGCCACAAACCCTCAGATATTCACAACAGACCGCATTCACAGCGGCGGTTACAGTATTAAATCAATCCAGGCGATAACAGATGCAGCTAACGCATCAAAGCCTGGAACCTGTGCTTCTCCAGCCTGGAGTCGTCCTCGCTGAAGTGTTGGGCACGCAGAGGATCTCTGTTAAAGCGAGTTAGGCTAACCTGATCTGATTTACCCATGCAGGGTGGAGCTGGAGGGAAGGGGAATGGAAATCAAAGCCCTAAATGATAAACCCACCGTTAAGACTGACACACACTCAAAGCACAGAGGCTCGCTGCGCTACATCTGCTGCGTGGAGTTCCCGTTCCACGTGTTGTTGTCGTCCTCGTTGTCTTCTTGAGTCCGTAGCCGGTATATTTTCCCATCTTTCTTGAAGTCCTCGGGCCTCTTCTCAAGAACCCTCTTACGAACCGTATCTCTGGAGCGGAAAACAGCAAAACCAGCAGAATTGAGCAGAAACTCATCTGTATCTCACTTACACACAATAACCTGACACCAAACAGTGACTGGTAAAATTAAGTTTGTGAGGCTGCAGTGAAGTTACAGTCACAGTGAAGTATAGTATAGTATATAATCATTTAATGCCATGTCAGCATCAAAGGCTATTTTCGTGGCAAAAACAATTAAAAAAATACAAGTACAACAAATACAATAAAAACCAGCAAACAAACAAACACAAGTTATATCACAAGATGTTTTCCATTAACGTGATAAAAATTCTGAAACTTTTCCTGGCAAAATTTTACTAAACTCTTTAAGTGAGTTCACTTCATAAAAGTTTTCTCTGTACATTAAAAGCTGGACAGTCCAATAAAATATGTTTAACAGAGAGGCGAACCTTGCAAAACCATATCATAACAAAAATAAACACCGGTATTCGGTATGAACCGGTATACCGCCCAGCATTAAAACATACATTGAGTAGGGTCTTCACCTTTAAGCAAAACTGCACGAGTCAGTCTTGTATGACCTATGTGACATCTGGTAAATACCACTTGATCTAATATAGTTTTAAAATTAGAAATTTCTGGAAGTATTTCATGTAATTTATTATTTGTTCAAGTATCCCACTCTTCTTGCCACTTATTTAATATATAACGATTAATAATAGGTCTGATCTCTGAGGGAGGAATTTGACATTTGTTTCACAGTGGAGTAACAGTGAGGTCACGGTGGAGTAACAGTGAGGTCACAATGAGATCATAGTGAGGTCACGGTGAGGTCACGGTGGAGTAACAGTGAGGTCAAGGTGGAGTAACAGTGAGGCGACGGTGGAGTAACAGTGAGGCGACGGTGGAGTAACAGTGAGGCGACGGTGGAGTAACAGTGAGGCGACGGTGGAGTAACAGTGAGGCGACGGTGGAGTAACAGTGAGGCGACGGTGGAGTAACAGTGAGGCGACGGTGGAGTAACAGTGAGGCGACGGTGGAGTAACAGTGAGGCGACGGTGGAGTAACAGTGAGGCGACGGTGGAGTAACAGTGAGGCGACGGTGGAGTAACAGTGAGGCGACGGTGGAGTAACAGTGAGGCGACGGTGGAGTAACAGTGAGGCGACGGTGGAGTAACAGTGAGGCGACGGTGGAGTAACAGTGAGGCGACGGTGGAGTAACAGTGAGGCGACGGTGGAGTAACAGTGAGGCGACGGTGGAGTAACAGTGAGGCGACGGTGGAGTAACAGTGAGGCGACGGTGGAGTAACAGTGAGGCGACGGTGGAGTAACAGTGAGGCGACGGTGGAGTAACAGTGAGGCGACGGTGGAGTAACAGTGAGGCGACGGTGGAGTAACAGTGAGGCGACGGTGGAGTAACAGTGAGGCGACGGTGGAGTAACAGTGAGGCGACGGTGGAGTAACAGTGAGGCGACGGTGGAGTAACAGTGAGGCGACGGTGGAGTAACAGTGAGGCGACGGTGGAGTAACAGTGAGGCGACGGTGGAGTAACAGTGAGGCGACGGTGGAGTAACAGTGAGGCGACGGTGGAGTAACAGTGAGGCGACGGTGGAGTAACAGTGAGGCGACGGTGGAGTAACAGTGAGGCGACGGTGGAGTAACAGTGAGGCGACGGTGGAGTAACAGTGAGGCGACGGTGGAGTAACAGTGAGGCGACGGTGGAGTAACAGTGAGGCGACGGTGGAGTAACAGTGAGGCGACGGTGGAGTAACAGTGAGGCGACGGTGGAGTAACAGTGAGGCGACGGTGGAGTAACAGTGAGGCGACGGTGGAGTAACAGTGAGGCGACGGTGGAGTAACAGTGAGGCGACGGTGGAGTAACAGTGAGGCGACGGTGGAGTAACAGTGAGGCGACGGTGGAGTAACAGTGAGGCGACGGTGGAGTAACAGTGAGGCGACGGTGGAGTAACAGTGAGGCGACGGTGGAGTAACAGTGAGGCGACGGTGGAGTAACAGTGAGGCGACGGTGGAGTAACAGTGAGGCGACGGTGGAGTAACAGTGAGGCGACGGTGGAGTAACAGTGAGGCGACGGTGGAGTAACAGTGAGGCGACGGTGGAGTAACAGTGAGGCGACGGTGGAGTAACAGTGAGGCGACGGTGGAGTAACAGTGAGGCGACGGTGGAGTAACAGTGATGTCAAGGTGAAGTAACAGTGAGGTCACGGTGAAGTAACAGTGAGGTCACAATGAGATCATGGTGAAGTAACAGTGAGGTCACGGTGAAGTAACAGTGATGTCAAGGTGAAGTAACAGTGATGTCAAGGTGGAGTAACAGTGAGGTGACGGTGGAGTAACAGTGATGTCAAGGTGGAGTAACAGTGAGGTGACGGTGGAGTAACAGTGAGGTCACAATGAGATCACGGTGAAGTAACAGTGATGTCGCAATGAGGTCACGGTGAAGTAACCGTGAGGTCAAGGTGAACTAACCGTGAGGTCATGGTGAAGTAACAGTGAGGTCACGGTGAATGAACAGTGAGGTCACAATGAGATCATGGTGAAGTAACAGTGAGGTCACGGTGCAGTAACATTGATGTCAAGGTGGAGTAACAGTGATGTCAAGGTGGAGTAACAGTGAGGTGACGGTGGAGTAACAGTGAGGTCACAATGAGATCACGGTGAAGTAACAGTGATGTCGCAATGAGGTCACGGTGAAGTAACCGTGAGGTCAAGGTGAACTAACCGTGAGGTCATGGTGGAGTAACAGTGAGGTCAAGGTGGAGTAACAGTGAGGTGACGGTGGAGTAACAGTGAGGAGGTGACGGTGAGGTGACGGTGGAGTAACGGTGAGGTCACGGTGGAGTAACGGTGAGGTCACGGGGGAGTAACGGTGAGGGGGAGGCATTACTCACGGGGGAGTAACAGTGAGGTGACGGTGGGGTGACAGTGAGGTGACGGTGGAGTAACGGTGAGGTGACGGTGGAGTAACGGTGAGGTCACGGTGAAGTAACGGTGAGGTCACGGTGGAGTAACGGTGAGGTCACGGTGGAGTAACGGTGAGTTCAAGGGGGAGTAACGGTGAGGTCACGGGGGAGTAACGGTGGGGTGAGGGGGGAGTAACGGTGGGGTCACGGTGGAGTAACGGGGGTCACGGTGGGGTCACGGTGGGGTCACGGTGGAGTAGCAGTGGGTTACAGTGAGGTAACTGAAATCACAGTGAGGTCACAGACATACCTCTTTGGTTCTGCGGCTGCGCTGGAGCCGTACGCGTTTGTCGCGTGTTGGTTCTGGGCGGCAGCAGGTGGAGGAGGGCTGCTGAACAGGAAGCCACTGATGAACCCCCAGACGGCCAGCAGCGGGTACAGCAGCGACCCCAGCATGGCCCAGACGCCGCCGCCCGCAGACGAGTGCACCACAGTGTTGGACAGGCGGCTGGACTGCTGCAGGGACCAATCACAGGGGAGCATTCATGTGACTAAAACTAAACAACCCTAGACACTCTTTTGCATTACATGCTTCTGAAATGTTATATTCAAATATGCAAATGAGGCATTAACTACTTGAATATGCACTAATTTGTATACATTGACAAGATAAATCTCAACATTAAAGTCAGGTTCATGATTCTTGTTTGATTTTGTTGACATATTAAAGGTTTTTACAGATGAGATTTTGGATTTCTCTATTTTTCACTCCATAAATCACTAATGTCTTGCTTAAAACCCAAATGTTAAAGAAAAGATTACTAGTTATTGTTTGCAAGTTGACCGTGTGAACTGGTGCGTGTGTGTGAGTGTGTATGAATGAGTTTGCAAGTGTGTGTGTGTGTGTGTGTGTGAGAGTGTCTCACAGGAAGCAGTACGATGGAGGCGCTGGGGGTCAGTTCCAGCTCCAGCAGTGATTTCTCCAGATCTTCAGCTGTAAACTCTCTCCTGGGGAACATAGTGGCCAGTGAAAACTGACCGTATCGGTTCCCAACCTCCTGCATGAAGACATTAAGGTTCATGAGAGTCACACGACTGTGTAGAGCTTCTGACAACTGCTAGACAAAAATCATATAATCATGGACACCAACCTGAGCAGCAAACTGTCGGGCCTCCAGCAGGCGCGTCTCTGATGGGAACTGGTTCGTGAAGGACGAGCCGTCAGGCAGACGGAACTGTATCCTGGCAACCGCACTGCGACCAGCAGAGAAAAACATCGTCAAGGCTAGCGGTCAGCTCACAGCCTGCTAATGCACTCATCGGTGCGGAAACCTTTTACAATTTACAATTCGGTTTAAAAAAATCATACTCTATAAAAAATCCTTACCTTAAAGTATTTGTGCATAACTGTAGCATTTGTTGTACTGAACTTAATTTATGCAGATTTATTTTAAACCAGTGTCTAGAATTACTTATTAGGGATGCAGAGAAAAAACACTGTAGCTCTTTTGACAGGTTCTGTCCAGAATTTTCATTTCAGTGTATCTAAGATTTGTGGTCTGATTTTAATAATAATAATAACAATAATTCCTATTCATTCAATAATAATATTTTCATACATGAATGCAGTTCAAAGTGCTTCACAAGATAAAATAGAAGCATAAAAACATTGACACAATGATTTCACAAAATATCAATACAAATCATACTCAAAAGCAACTTTCGTAACTCGCCTTGAATGAGTGGAACTCTGGATCCACGTTGGTTTTTTTATATTTATATATTTCATACATATATCCTTCGGAGTGATAATCAATCCAGTTATTAATCAGTATTTAACCTCTTATGTTTTAGTTGATTGAATAAAGTTATGAGTTACCATATACTAGTAGTAGACACTAAAGTGTATGATGTTATTGAAATGTGTTTTTCCTGGCCTCTCCATATGTTAAACTTCTGTTCACTCCTCTCAGGTCACAGAGGTCAGCAGGGCCTCTCGGAACATTTAGGTTGTTTTCTATGTCTGTATGTTAAAGAATAAAGCTGAATAGGGTCTGAGCTTCTCTCCTTTTGTCTCTCTGAGAAGCTGCACTCATTCTCTGTGTTTTGGGAACAGTACCTGATAAGAGCTACACGACCCTGAAGTAAATAAGGGTATTAAAGGGGTCATATGATGCTGCTAAAAAGAACATTATTTTGTGTATTTGGTGTAATGAAATGTGTTTATGTGGTTTAAAGTTAAAAAAACATTATTTTCCACATACTGTACATTATTGTTTCTCCTCTATGCCCCGCCTTTTTGAAACGAGTCGATTTTTACAAAGCTCATCGTTCTGAAAAAGCGAGGTGTGCTGTGATTGGCCAGCTATCCAGTGTGTTGTGATTGGCTGAATACCTCAAGCGTGAGACGGAAAATTTTACGCCTCTCACATACTGTTGATGCCGTCTCCCGGAGCGACAAGACAAAAAACTTTAGTCTTTCCAACTTTACAGATCTTCTTTATGCACCAAGAGCTTGTAACACTCCAAAGAGAAAGGAAAAATTGAAATCGCATCATATGACCCCTTTAAGCTCCAGGGAGGAACGGAGATAAATGGTCACAAATGGCACAATGCACACAATCCTAAAGGTTCTGAACAGCTGTTTGATGTTCAGCAGTGTGTCACCTCCTCTCTCGCTGCGCGCCGTCTCTCTCGGCGTCTCTCTTGGCCTGCAGCGCTGCTAGTCGGGTCGCCTCCGAGTCCTGCTGGCTCTGAGCGTAACGGGCCGCTCTGTCAGCGCGGTCCTGCGGACGAAAGCATGAGATCTTCTACTGTTATCATGAACATGTTTAGCATGAAAGCACTCGAGGTCGTGTTGTACAGTGAATGGCTGTGATGTTCACTGTATAACGCGCTCTCAGCGTCTGACAGTGTGAGGAGTACCAGAGCGATCTGCTGCTTGACCCGCTCTCTAGCCGCTCGCTCCTCGGCCTTCTCTCGACTCCTCTCCTCCAGCAGACGCTTGGTTTTCTCCTCCTCCTGCTTCTTCTTGAAGTCCAGCATCTCCTTCCCTGTCTTACGCCTCTCCACCTCCTTCTTCAGCTGCACCTGTGAGACAGATGTCATGCGTGTTCTTCATTCTCTAGTGGACATGGATGTTACGACAGAATTACCTCTTCTTCTGCTTTCTTCTTCTGCTCACGTCTTTCCTCCAGCTTCTTTGTTAATCTACAAAAGAAAATGAATAAAAACGGATACATCATGAAAAATGAAAATGGACGTTTTGCTGAAGTTACCAGCCAAACGGTGTTCCTCTGTAGTTTAGCACAATTATCTAAAGATTCTTAAATCAGGATATGTTTACTGGAGAAGCACAATGACTGAAGACATTAGGTCTTGCGTTCTGAAAAATTGATCAAGATGAAGTGAGTTCATGATTAAAAAAAAAGAACAAATATCTGCCAATGGGGTCAGAAAAATAGAATAGTTTCGCTTTAAAATAAGTTGATTTTTCTGACCACAATTTTGAGACGTTTCTCAGAAAACAAGACTCAATATCTGATGTCCTTTTGTTTCTCAAGCAAATGTATCTTGATTTAAGAATTAGGATTTTTGCACTGCAAAACAACACAAAAACACTGAGGTGAAGATGCTTTATATCAGTCGCCTTCAAAGAATGTTTCGGTGGTTGTTTACTAGGCTTGATTGTGTTTATGGGGTGCAGTCTAACATGTGTTAATGCTTTTAAAAAAACGCATTCTTTTTCACAATCTACCTTTATTCCACACCACTCTGTCCCTTCTCTGAGAAACACCCTGATCTTTTCCTGCTTTTATGAAGCCCCGCCCTCAGAAATAGGCGATGGGCTCTGATTGGTTAGCTAGCCCAGTGTGTTGTGAGTGGCTAAACCGCCTCTAGTGCGCATCTAAACGTCCCGCCCTCTCCTCAGCGGCATGTGCTCCGGTTGTATTGTAAACAACGGCGTCGTTAATATCGCTTATCAGTTTGAGCCCGATTGAGAAGCAGAGGATATTATTGAAGAGGATCGTGCAGAACCTGTGCAAGCACGGCTTTTAATGGTAGGCCTATGTTTTTTGTTTGTTGTTGTCTCATACTTTTAGATACGCTGTTATTTGTAAATGCTACTGCTTCTGTTAGCTTTTAATATACGGTTTTCTCCTGATTAAAGCTTTAATACAGTACGGCAACTGCACGCGCGTCCATGTTTAATGCTTCTCATAGCTATGTGAAAATAAGTGTATAATTGGAACAGTTCATTGTTGGAGCTGAGCTGAATGAGAGAGAGAGCGAGAGAGAGATAGAGATCTCCGTTTGCATTGAACTTTCAGCTTCGTAACTTTGCAGATATTGTTTATGCTCAAACAGCAACATTACACACTAACTAACATTAAAAAAGTGAAATCTCAATGAACCACCCCTTTAAGGAAGAACTCGTCACTAAATCTGATAGGTATGTTAGCATCAGATCTGTGAAAGATGATACTCAGAGTTTTGTTTGTGTCTGTGATCTCATCATCATACAGCAGCTGCAGGATTTTCCTGAAGAACAGCTTCACTGATCAGGACAAACACACAAACAGCCGTGGATCATCCAGAAAACACACGCTGTCATTATGGTGTCTTGTGGACTACTCAGACTAACAGATTCAGCAGGGCAAGAAAAAACACAAACAGACTGACAATATTTTGCAGATTCTATGGGGGTGCAAACTTATGCACTCGACTGTATATCTGTGAAATGATCTGCACATTGATTTGGATGCTCTGCTCATTTCTGCTGTGTTTTCTGTTCAATCTGTGCTTTAAATGTGGGTTTTTTATCATCTATTAGTGTCAGTCCATCTCTACAGAAGCCGTGTAGTTAAATGCTCCGCTCACCTCTCCACCTTGTCATCCTGGGCCTGGTCTTCTGACGGCAGGCCTTCATCTTCAGCTGGAGTCACGTGACCCGACGCTCGGTCTTCCTCCAGCGGCACAGACAGGGATTCTGGGGAACAGAGGAATCCGTCCAGTGCTCAATGAAACTCAGAACATGGAAATCTCTCTCATATGCATGTTAACGACTCCTGAAGCAGAGCGTCAGTGCACATCACGACTGAAACTACATGCAAACACAGACGTGACCAAACCATCCTGCAGCCAATCAGAGCAGGTGTGTCATCACCTTTAGACGAGGCGGAGCCGTGATCAGCTCCCTCTGCGTT